ATGTATGTATGTATACTCTTGCTCATTTGTCTTCCTTTTCATTCGCTCTCTTTTAGCTCTTGTTAAACTCTGACGCTGGAGGCCCATGTTTGCTTAGCCCAAGCCCTTAACTACACAGCCTTTAATTAAAAGCCTGCACACTTCTCACTCTGGCCTGTCCTGTACCCATTCTGCATGGCAGCTGGTGAACTGGCACGTTGGAACTTACATTTTAAAATAGTGTTAACTTATCATTCCTGAATTTATAGCCATTATGGTGGTGGGGGTTTGACAGTGAGAAGTAGAAGGGTAGCTGGGTTAGCAGTTTTTATAGGCGAGTGATGAGATTTATGTGTGTGTGTGGATTGAAATTAATATTAACAGCCATTGTGGCCATGTTCCAAGGAGATGTACCACAGAGACAAGCTTTCCTCTCATGGGAGTCTTTCATTTTTCATTAACCGAGCCTTTGGCTGATGAGAATGATGCAATGATAACGCAGAAGAAAAAAAAACTGCAAAAATTCTTCCAACTGATGTTGAATAAGAACTGGTTCATGTTCTTTTCTTGTATAGAATAAAATAAATTTTAAAAATGGGTGGAAATGTAGTTTGGGGCACATATAATTCCACAATTCGCTTATTGTCGTGCAGCTCCTTCATGGCCCCTCATGTATACCAGCACACACTCACTTGGCTGTTGTACCGTTGCTTCAGTGAACTGAAGATAAGACCCAGGGTTTTCACATGTAAATGGTGTGAGCACGGACGGGAAGGAGGCTGTATTGTTAGCGTGGAGCGGCTCTGAGGAGCTCTGTCGAGGGTTCAGCCAGTGCAGCCCTTATCAGATGAAGAGCAGGCCTCAGAGGAGAGGAGGGGGTCGGCCAGAGACGAGGGCTGGGTAGGGTTGAGGGGCCAACAGGAGAATGGAACAGCTGGCGAAGTCACGCGTGCAACCCCAAAAACACACAGAGCCCAGACACTCTGAGCACGGTGGGAATCTCCTCAGCTACGAGATCCACAAACACACGGCCTCTTATGTCATTATCAGCCAGCAGCCAGCAAGGCTGAGCACATAATCACACACAGCAGCAACAGCAGGAAAAAAGGGGTGTTTCACATAATCACAGACACACAATCACAAAGGATGATCGCACATTCAGATTTCCATACAGGCGTTTTGTGGGGTTTTTTTGTTTTGCACCAAGCTAACATTAAAGAACGTGCAAAAAATCTAAAATCAACATTCATAAACGGTTTTGACTTCATGACTGGCAGCTTTCATTTCTCTTCTCATAAAGCGTATAAAGTCTTACTTCTGTTCGTGTGTATGAATCATTAATTATCCGTCAGTTTGAAGTTGTTTTCCAGGCCTGTACCGTATTTTTTGGACTATAAGGCGCACTTCAAATCCTTTAATTTTCTCAAAAACTGACAGTGAGCCTTATGTATTAATTTTGTTTGTGCTTACTGATCTCGAACCGATTTTATGTGATACACGGCGCTCAAAAATCAGTCAGAATGAACTTATTATTATTGCACCTTATAGTCTGAAAAATATGGCAATTTATATTTTATGTAACATAATTGTGCAACTGAACAGCAGAATAGTGATAACTAAGAAAATATGCATTATGTTAAAAAGTCATAGAGACTACAACAAATGTGGAAAATTCATAGCCTTATTCATGACATTCAAACTTTGTCTTATGACTTGAAGCAAACAGGTCATTAAACAAAA